TAATATGTATAGTTCACATGCACTTCATTAGACTCCTAAACATTCATTTAAATATGTGTAGTTCTTGGTTACTTGGATGTTGAGTATTTACTTGATCTAAACTTGTTGTAACACTCGAGATGGCATTGTCATTAAATTTTGAGTAGTTAAAAGATATGATTGAGTATTTTTTGGAAAGTCAATCCTCTTAGTGAAACACTTATGGACTGAGTAGCTTGGAGTGATGTTTGCTACTTATGTAAAACCTACTAATTTAGGCCGACTTCATGATCAAGGTCACACTATACACTAAATGTATTAGTGATATAATTTACTCAAATCCATCTTATAATAAACCACGACCAAAAATACTTCTTGTTGTAACGTCTTGTTCATACTACTCCACCATTAAAGCTTCGTCATGCACCACTATAATACTTCACTCTATAAAGAATCAGTATAAACCATATTAGCTTAAAGTGTTCATACATATATGATTTCGTCTCTATGTAATGTAAGACACTTTACACCAACAACCTGCTGGTCAGTATGTCGAAGACTCTTGACTAGCCCGCCAGTTTATAGAAGCTTTCTATTCTTGTTTTATCCATCAAACTTAAAGGGGTATAACTTAAAGTGTCAAATCTAAAGGGGTCAAGTCTCGGATTCGTATATGGTACAGCCGGTTGTACGCAAGGTTTTAAATAGTCGTAGCGGCAGCAGTAGCAGTAGCGGTAGCGGTCATCGCGGTAGCGGCCTGTAGCGGTCTGTAGCTGACTGTAGCGGTTGCAGCGGCGTGAAATATTTTCAATTGCGCAAAACATAAATGTATTTTTTCACATCATTCACACAACATTTAATTTTGAGTTTCACTTCATTCATCACCATTAATGTATTTTTTCACGTCATTCACACAACATTTACACATTTACACATCAAACAGTTCGTGATGTACTGCCGGAAATGTCAATAGCGGGCTGTAGTGGGCGGCGTAGTGGATTTTTCCCGTGATTTGGAAATCACACACGAAAAGCGGGCCGTAGCGGTAGCGGGCCTCTATTTCAAACCATGGTTGTACGGTGCCAGCCGTTCAGCCGGTGTCAAACTTGTAACTTTGGTGAAAATCACGGATTCTCTTAAATGAGCATTGAATCAATTTTGATGAACATCAAGCCTCTTCTTTTGAGTATTAGAAGCATAACAGTGAGCATTAGTAACATCTGCTTTATTCCTCATATATCACATCTTGTTTATTATTTTTTATGTTTATTAAAGTCTTAAATTATGTCTATAATCAATTTCATTTAATTTCAATATGTGAATCTAATGGATATGATATGTTTAACATATGCAACCTTTTAAAATGAGCATATAACAGTATCAAATGATCATACATAATTTACAAAATGAATATCAAAATATTAAAAACTCATTTGTGTGTGCTCATTCATTTTGGGCATTATACTCATTTGAGTTTAACTTAAAACTCATTTTGAAATATGCATGAATATGACATTTTAAAATGAGTATTGCACTAATATCAAAATGAGTATATATAAATTACGAAAATGAGCATTTAAAAAACTCATTTGAAATTTCTATTTTGCTCTAATATTCATTTGTGTATGCTCATATAATTATAATAAAAAGTCCATTAATGTATAGCCGGTACATAAAAATCCAAAGTACAGAGATCTTCGGTACTCATGTAACGTAGCAATTGAAAACCAATTTCCAAAGCAATTGGACCACCCAAAGTCCAAAAATTTCCAATAGCGTAGCAATCGGAAACCAACGCCTAGCGGCGCAGTGCGGAAGCGAGAAGAAGTTCGAATGGGAGAACATCAGATGATGATGATTGATGCTCGATCGATGATGACAGATGAGGACGGCGAAAGATTAAGGTCGCAACACGCATTTCAGAGAGAGGATGGTTGAATCGAAGAAATCTAGTGCGTGGTTAGATCCGCGAAGCACAGAACTCAACAAAAGTCCGGTCGCAGCGACACCGATCACCACCAAATTAGATCCGAAGAAGCGCAAAGCCAAAAAAAGGCCGGCTGTACCGTGCACACGGTACATGCGATTGTACGATGTATTTTACCTCAAGTCTCCTGCTCAATAGATGTTAAATGTTCCAAAAGTACATTCTAATAGCACTTTTAAAGAAGATTATTTAGAGTAGTTGTTTAGAGCCGGTTTCTGACTTATTTTGAATTAAAGATCAATCGCAACATTGCCACAATTGCCTCATTGTCTTCTTTGGTAGAATAAAAACACATCATTTAAACACCATTCATGAAAGTCTCGTTTATTTATTAACTAATAATACACGTATAAAACAAAAACAAAAAATTACACAGTTGTACTCAACATATTACTGCACCAGATGTGGTCGGGACTGTCACCATCTCCTGTGTCGCCGCCACTAGCCACCGGCCGCCACCTCCATCGCCGGTGCCGCCTAATCCGCCGCCGCTCTCAAGCATGTCTTCATCTGCCGCTGCTGCCGCCCTCCAGCGAGTCCTCATATGGATCTGCTTGGTCTTCCATCGCCGCCACACTCTCCCCTCCGTCATCTCCTACACCACCACCACAAATTCTTCTAGTGAAATATTGTTCAATGCCATGTTACAATCACAATGCCATTTTGTTAAAAAAAACTACATGACATTAATAGTTGTAAAATATGACATTATTTGCCTAACATATTCAAGTAACACTGTCATCTTTATGAAGGTTAGTGCCAACTTCATAAATGCAAAATGACATTATTTGCCACACATATCGAAAAACATGGCATTTTAAAAATAATTTTACCATCTTAATACATGCAATATCATGAAAACAACATTGTTTTCAAATAAATTTTCAGAAAATAGACATTAGGTATTGATTTTTCAGATCCAAAATTATTAAACTGAAAATTTTAAAATTAAAAATTAAAATTAAAAATCATATTCAATTTTTTTTAAATAACTGGGTGTTTGTATTTTAATAATAAAAAAGTCAGATCTGAAATTTTCATATAATCAACTTGTGGAGCCTCAATTTTTCTACTCCCAAACTTTCAAACCTAAATTTAAAATTTTCCATTTTGAATCTGAAAATTTAAAAAAAAAATACTAAGATCCAAGTGAAGAAGGAGAAAAGGAGAGTGAAAGGTGAAAGAGAAGAAGGAGAACAAAGAGAAGATGGAACATATTTACCGAAAAAGTGCAACACATCACCAGATTCACACAACATTGGCGGATTCGCAACAAGTCCTCGGAGTCACACCACGTCGTTGGAGTCCCACCACGTCCCCGAAGTCACGACATTGCTACCGGAGTAGAATATCGACTCTTTGTGTCTGGGATTGGGGGTGCAGAAGAGAGGAGCGATGAGGGATGTACGTAGATGAGATGCAAGGTGGGTGTGGTGAGAGAGAAAGGAGAAGATAAGGGAAGAGGTGTAATCCCGAGTGGCATAGAAATAGTGATATTGTTTTGGAAATAAAAAACATAGAGTCGACATTTCTTTTATGTTTTACTCCTTTCTAAGGTAATTAATTTGTATTTAATCACTTGTATAAAAATCTTGTCATTTAGAAGCTGTTCTGTTCGTCTTAATCTTATTACTTATTGCTTATTCTTATTTTATTCAGATCAGATCAGATCAGATCAGAAAAATTCAGATCAGATCAGATCAGATCAGATCAGAAACATTCAGATCAGATCAGAAACATTCAGATCAGATCAGAAACATTCAGATCAGATCAGAAACATTCAGATCAGATCAGAAACATTCAGATCAGATCAGAAACATTCAGATCAGATCAGAAACATTCAGATCAGATTAGGAACATTCAGATCAGATCAGAAAAGTTCAGACATGATTTATCCCTTTTATTATAATAATAATTATAATAATATTAATAATAATTATTATAATTATTATTATAATTATTATTATAATTATTATTATAATTATTATTATAATTATTATTATAATTATTATTATAATTATTATTATAATTATTATTATTATTATTATTATTATTAATTTATTATTATTATTATTATTCTTGTTGTTATTGTAATTATTATTATAATTACTATTATTATTGATATTATTATTATAATTACTATCATCATCATCATCATCATCGTCATCATCATCATCATCATCATTACTATGATTACTATGATTATTATTATTATTATGATATTTATTATTATCATGATTATTATTATTCTTATTACTATTATGGTTGTTGTTGTTATTGTTATTAGTATTTTTTTTGTTTTTGTTATATTACACGGAGTAATTACAATTAAAATTAATTGTAAACTAGGTTGAAACTCACCTCATTGAGTTTCGAACCCGAGACCTCCCATAAGGGAGAGTGAGTCGGCGACCAGCTGAGCTGGACCGCTTCCTCTAATTATAGCTATATTTATAACTAGTGTAATACGTATAATAATAATAATTATACTATTATAATTATTATAATTATAATTGTAATTATATTTTTTTTATAATTATGATTATAATTATAATTATATTTAAATTATATATGTGTAATTACATTTCTAATTATTATAATAAAAATTAAAATTATAATTATAATTTTAGAAATATTTAAATCAGACCAGATCAGAAGGATTCAGATCAGATCAGAAGGATTCAGATCAGATCAGAAACATTCAGATCAGATCAGGAACATTCAGATCAGATCAGGAACATTCAGATCAGATCAGGAACATTCAGATCAGATCAGGAACATTCAGATCAGATCAGGGACATTCAGATCAGATCAGAAAGATTCAGATCAGATCAGATCAGATCAGAAACATTCAGATCAGATCAGAACTTAAAAAATTCAGATCAGAAACATTCAGATCAGGTGAAGAGAACACCTTCTTATTGAGGGAACCTTTCGCCGAGATGAAGGGAGTAGCAGACAAGTGGGGCCCATGAATTCATAATTCGGGACACATTTAAGCGAGATTATGGTCGGAAAAGCCCACAAAAATGTGGCCAGGCCCAAATTTGTTACTCTGCACTTCAATGAGCGGAAGTCAATAGCGTTGGTCATCTGGCAAGTGTCAACGGCACTGAACTTGTTTGCTAGGTGGCCCTCGCATTCCTCGTTTTCCATCAGTGGTTCTGGATTTTTACTTTCCTTCATCAACAATCAATCACAGGTTAGTTCATTCGGAGGTTAATCTTGAACTGCAACGGGTGAATATGAGCCAAAACGAGACCTTTCTAATCGACGGTCAACCGCAGAGGGAAAGAAGGCCTAACAGTACTGCAACAGGCAACTTGATTTGGAGGCCACTCGATTGGTTTAGGAAGCTTAGTGATGACCTGCATTGGAGCTTTGTTCTGTCGGTGGTGATTGTGTATGGAATCAATCAAGGGTTGACTTTGGGTTTATGTCGCATTAGTATACAATACTACATGAAGGATGAGCAAAAGCTACAGCCCTCTGAAGCTCAGATTTTTTCTGGAATTATATCACTGCCTTGGATCGTTAAACCTCTATGGGGTCTGCTCACTGATGTTCTTCCCATTGCTGGCTATAGAAGAAGGCCTTACTTCATTCTTGCGGGTAATTTATTTATTATACCCATTATGGTTGTTGTTGTCAGATTAGGGGTTGAAGTTTGCACCTCACTTTTTCACCAAATGTAAAAAGTGAGATTTGCTAATAGTGTGAGTTGTAAAGTCGAATTTATTCTTATTGTTGTTGTTTTTCTGGTTGTTGTTACTACTTAGTACAATTCTTGAGGTGTAAACTCAAACTTGAATGAAATAGTGAGTAGTAAAGTCGAATTTATTCTTATTGTTGTTGTTTTTCTGGTTGTTGTTACTACTTAGTACTGTTCTTATTTTTCACCCATTTGCATTAAATGAGTTCACTGTTGGAACCTAAAATGATTTTCTGTGATTAAATCAGAACTCAAAATGATTGCTTAGCTGCTTTCAGTGTCATTTTCACTGAAGAAATTAAGAAAGCCAATAATATGTAGGCCATCAAGAAAGTGACTGTAACTAATTATTCCAGCCTCCTGAGTTTGCTCATTCATTTTCTGAGGTTTTATGCATATGTATAGCATTAGGACTCCACTTACTCTGGTTATCAAGGTGAAGTACAAATTTATTGAGCCAAGTTGTTGAAAGACAAAATAGGTGACTTAACTATTAGAAATTGTTAATTACGGGTTCCAACTAAACTGAAGTGTTGAGCTGTTAACGAGTGTACAATTCCTACATGTAAACGGATCATCAACTTACTATAACTGTCACTGCTAATGACATCTACCAATTCACCCTTTGGGGAGTACTCATGCTACCACCATCATTAACATTATTCATCCTCTGAATTGGGGAAAAAGTGCAACTTGTCAAAATAACGAGTAAAATATTGTTCTGTTCATTAACCTCCTTTTGATCCTTAGGTTCGCTCGGCATCATTGGTATGCTTACTCTGTCGATGAACAAGAACTTAAGGATCGAATTTGCTTTGTTATGCTTAATGACTGGCAGTGCTGGGGTTGCAATAGCGGATGTGATAATTGATGCCTGTGTAACAGAGAACAGTATAAGCCATCCCTCTCTGGCTGGTGACATGCAGAGCTTATGCGGAGGGAGCTCATCTGTAGGACAACTGATTGGGTATATGATAAGTGGATTCTTAGTTCACCTAATTGGATCAAAGGTTATGTGCACTAAGCTCTTTTGCTAATCCTATTTATAGGCGGTTGCTTACTGATCGACCAAAGACTTTTTAGTCAGGAAGGGTCCCAGAAGTGGAATAGTTTAATCTCTCTCCTTTGGAGATATAAACTAATAAAGTCCTAATTGAAGTGTCATTAGAAAATATATGTAATGCATGTAGGGCTATGCAAGTCGTGGTTTATGCTATTGTTTGTGTATTTTTTTATATCTTCAGATAGAATCTCTATGGTAAATTTGGGAGGAGGTGTTTGGGGGGGTGTTTTCGTTTTAAGAAAAGATGGTTTAACTTGATCTTTTAAAACAAAAGATACATTCGCTCCGTCCCATAAAACGTGACCAAGGTTGACTAGCACGTGGAATAAGAAAGTAAAAGTTTTGTAGTTGAGTTTTGTGCAGATCTGATAAGAACAAAAAAATAAAATCAACGGGGTGAACCGTTGTCCAGATAATCAACGATAAATAAATATCGTTGCCCAAAGCCAAAAGGCTAAACCAAACTTTTATTCCTAGATGATCAAGAATGAAGCATACAAGGGGTATAAATAACCCTTCTAGGTCTAATAAGAATAGGAATCCTAATTAAATTATTCTAGGAAACTAAATAGAATAGGAAACCTCTAGTTCTAATAGAACTCCTAATTAAATCATTCTAGGAAACTAAATAGAAATAGGAAACCTCTAATTCTAATAAGACTAGAAGTCCTAAATAAATCCTACTAGGAAACAAATTAAATTAGGAAACAAAATAAAAGGAACAATAAATATTAATTAAACAGCCCGCAACCAGCCCACGGAGGTGGGCTCTAGCCCGTCCCGCCTTCGGTAAACCCACGGGGGCTTCTGCCCCTCTTCTTCCAATCCCAAATTCTGCTTCATATCAATTCCATCCCCCTTCGAAAAAACCTTGTCCTCAAGGTTGAAATCCGGAAACCGGCTGACATTTGTTCCCGGTGGCTGCCTAGTATCAAAGCAATTGCCCTTAAACCGTGAGTCAAAACGAGCCACTAATGCTTGTGTAAGCTCATCCCATGACATGCCCGGCTTTCGTGCTCGTAACGAGGTCAACCGGTACAGGGCTGACCCTTCCATCACAACTACAGTGGCTGCCACCTTCTTTCCCGGCGGAGTACAGCTCAGTTCGATTTGATGCTCAGCCCTAGCAACCCAACCGATCGGGTCTTCTCCGTCAAACAAGGGCAGCGTCGTGAGAGAAGTGTTGCACAGTCCAGTTCCGAACGTGGATGTTGCTGCCGCGTCAAGTGAAGCCATATCCGATGAATTCTCCTCCGCCGCTGGCGGCGCGAGAGCCTTTGTGAGCGCAGTCAAGGAGGAAGTGACGCTGCGCGGCTGTCCGTCGCTGCTGGGCGCAAATACGGCGGGGCTGCCAACCGCGTCAGGGCTTGTTTCTGTCGTGACTGGCGGAACGAACGCCTTGGTAAGCGCTGCCAGGGATGCGGCGATCTCTGCCAGACGCACGCCATGCTCCTCTAGGGTTTGATTCATCCGAATTTGCTTGGCCACCATCTCTGACAAATGTTTACTGATAGATCTCGTCATTCCGGCGGGACGGGATCCGGCAGGTCGGACCAATTGATAAGAACAAAAAAATAAAATCAACGGGGTGAACCGTTGCCCAGATAATCAACGATAAATAAATATCGTTGCCCAAAGCCAAAAGGCTAAACCAAACTTTTATTCCAAGATGATCAAGAATGAAGCATACAAGGGGTATAAATAACCCTTCTAGGTCTAATAAGAATAGGAATCCTAATTAAATTATTCTAGGAAACTAAATAGAATAGGAAACCTCTAGTTCTAATAGAACTCCTAATTAAATCATTCTAGGAAACTAAATAGAAATAGGAAACCTCTAATTCTAATAAGACTAGAAGTCCTAAATAAATCCTACTAGGAAACAAATTAAATTAGGAAACAAAATAAAAGGAACAATAAATATTAATTAAACAGCCCGCAACCAGCCCACGGAGGTGGGCTCTAGCCCGTCCCGCCTTCGGTAAACCCACGGGGGCTTCTGCCCCTCTTCTTCCAATCCCAAATTCTGCTTCATATCAAGATCAGAGAGAAATAACATCAATCACAAATTTGTCACTCGAAAAGGAGACAACAAAGTTTTTTGGGACAACTAAATCAGGAAAGTTGGCAAAGTTTAGTGGGCCAGAGTAAGTTAGATTAAAATTTAAGATAAACTCCCAGTCCAAACCATTTTTTATTGCCATTGAAATGTGTAAATCTAAAAAATAAAAAGAATGCCCTCAGGCCCTGCCTGTTGAAAGAGCTAACAGAATAGTAGCCTACAAGTGCACATCTTCACTCTAACGCTTATAATGAAGGATACAGTGTTTAAATGGCACCAATAGTTGTAGTGTGTCAGATGTTAGCTTGAATTGTACTGACCTAAATGGACTTAGGGCTATGCAACTAAGACCAACTAACATTAACTTTCCATCTCCAGTCTCCACTAACATTCAACACTCCCCATGTTTTCAACACTACATTCCTTTTCCCTCTAAAGTCTCATTCACAAACATACCATGACTTGTTAATTGTTATGCTACGCGTTACGGTCCTGTGGCAGATCACAGGAGAGGAGGGAAGAGCTTTCCTCCTCCCTATGGTGGCTAGTCAGAGACCCACATAGCAGAGAGGAGGAAGAAGAGATGTATAACAGGAAACTTCCAAGAATGTAATTCAAAACGAAACTAAGAGTTTTGCCATACAAATAGATCCCACGTAATTATTACCAAACTAATAAATCTTTGAAAGATAATCCAAATTTAAATCAGACCTCTGTAATGGCAATTGGGAGCCAAGTAATGATACTTGGAAATTTCAATCAATCAGCCTTGATTTTCTCTATTGATGGATTCAATCCCGTGAGTTGCTCTTCTGGAATTAGTCTCCACATGGCATATCCATAGTGCTGACAATAAGCCACCTAACTTATTGCTCATGCAGGTTTAGTTGAACATAAAACTATGTCTCTTGTTGGTTATGCTGACTGCTGAGTATTTTTAATTGATTTTTTTAATTAAAATAATCTGGATGTTTTTGCTTAAAATCTATGTCTCATAGTTTTTTAGTTTAAATTATCTAGTCATGACAAGTGTGTTTTATTAACCTCTGGCAGGGAGTGTTCGGAATTTTGAGTGTGCCACCTTGTCTAGTTGTTTTGGTTGGAATCATGATACGAGAAAAGTATATGCCTACCGGGACCTACAGAAGAGTAAGTATTATATTTCTAACCTTTTTAAGTAGACAGATGACTCTTAAACCTTTAGTAATTAAGTTTTCAAAGTCTTCATAAAAAACAGGTAAGCCATAAGTTTTTTGATGCTGGTAAGGCTATGGTTATGGCACTGAAAAGCAAGACGGTTTGGAGACCATGCTTGTACATGTACATTTCTCTTGCAGTGAGTGTGCACATTCATGAGGGAATGTTTTATTGGTATACTGATGCAAAGGATGGCCCATCCTTCTCTCAGGTACATGATATTCTCATTCAATTCTCTGAAGAATAATTTATTGAACTTGTAGGAGTCAATTCTCGCTGCTAACTTAGTTTCTGGGTTTTAAATTCCATTTTACATTCACTCATACAGAGTTCATTTGCAACTCTGAATATCCTAAGAAACAAAAATAGGGAGGAAAGTATAGGAGGTATTTGGAAGAAAAGAAAGTGTGGAGGAAAATTAAACATTGATTCAACTAATCAACTCTATAAACCTATTTTAAAATCTGTTCGAAATTTATTTTATTTATTAATTTCTATTTTATAAATACTAGGAAGTCGATAACATTGCCATAGAAGAGTCTGAAGTTTACTGATTTTTTTCAGGACTACTTTACCAACTATGTAATTCATTAGTCAATGTTTTCCCTTCGTGCAGGAAGTTGTGGGGTCCATATCCTCTGTAGGTGCAGTTGGGTCACTTCTTGGGGTTCTCCTATATCATAATGCCTTCAGACACCACCCTTTCCGTAGTGTACTTTTCTGGTCTCAGTTGCTGTTTGGGGCTTCAGGATTACTGGATTTAATATTGGTATCACGAATAAATCTTAATTTTGGCATTCCAGACTACTTTGTTGCCGTGAGCGATGCAGCCATAACTCATATGATTGCACGTCTCAAATGGATGCCACTTCTCGTGCTAAGCTCAAAGCTTTGTCCCTCAGGCATAGAAGGAACATTTTTTGCTCTGCTTATGTCAATTGATCACACTGGGATGCTCTCAGCCTCTTGGGCAGGTGGGTTTTTACTTCACATCTTCAATGTTTCGCGAACACAGTTCGCCAACCTCTGGATAGTCATTGTGATTAGAAGTTTACTGAGAGTCCTGCCAGTAGCACTTCTATTTTTGGTTCCAAGCAGTGATCCGAACACGTCTATCCTTCCGATTGAAATGTTGAAGGCTAAGAAGGGTGAAGATTTTACAGAAGCTGATAATAGTAGGGAAATGGTGGCGCTTGTCAACACTGTTGACCAGACCTTCACAGAATGATTGGATGAAGGGGGCATTAATCTACTTTTTCTTAAAAAGGGTATTTTATTATATCCAACTGCCACTCTTGTGCTGTGTAAACAAATAGAAAAAAAGGAGCATCTCCAGATTTTACAGTTATAGAGATTCACAGGAGTATCTTCTGGTAAAGCTGGCACCTGTACAAATCTACTCTCATTCATACTTGAATCTGGGCGTGGCTTTCTCTGGTCTTTGTACAATATGGAGTGGCAAATACAACCATTTTCAGCAGGAGAGTTTAACCCCCCTTTATTCTACGAGTACATTCTTTCTAAAAAGGTTCGGGACTGAGATGCCCATAAAGAGCACTTATTCATCAATGGGTCTGATTTTCATGCAGGAATGGCCTTTACAATATGTAAAATGTGCAACATATATTTTTTCCGAATAATGCAAACATATTTTTACTAGTCTCTTTTATGTCTCTGCACCATTTGGTTTGATTATTGCCTGTTGAAAAAAAATTGTTTATTGCATGGACAATACTCATAGACAAAAATGTGACTACTTTTTAAAAATTCCAAAAATTTGACTAAAATCACTAAACATGTTCGTGGCATGTTACCACAGTTAGTGACAACGCTCCGCATTTCACTATGACCTTCACAGTAAATTCCCGTAACTATTTAGTGGGAAAGTCCCGGAAAACTTTTCCAGCAGTGCTGGCAGCGGCAAATTCTGGTGACTTTTCTTGCAACGACCTTTGGAAAATTTCCTGTTATTTTTTCTGGGCGCAGGCAGCTGGACAGATGATTGGTGGCAGGGGGCGGTGACTCCGGTGAGGGTGGGGGGCAGTTGGGTTGATGTTGAAGGGTGAAGAAATTTGAATAGATATAGGTCATTTACTTATTTAGTTGTTTGAAAAAACTAGTCATATATTTGTCAATCACAAAGTTTAAAGAAATAATTACATAAATATGACCAAAATAAAGACGATTTACAAAAATATGATTAGTTACTAGAGTAGTAATGAAATCATAGTAATTCATGTTCAAGTTTTGAACTTAAGTTACCATAACACTACGTTGTAGTAATGAATAGTCATATTTATGTAAGTAAGTTTTATTTTAGTAATATTCTTGTAAAAAACCCAAGTTTAAAAGTTATATTTGCATCACTGTTTCTTCATGTATTTTTGCCTTGTCATATTTCTGTACTTTCTGATTTTTGAATTGTTATAGGACTAATCATGAAAAGGTTATTATACAATTAATTACTTGGATTGATCCCAAAGCTGTGCACCATACACGTCAAGATGAATATTACACTTGATTGTAGGGTCGGGCTCGGGCCGGGCCCGGGCCTAGTGGGTCGTGGTACTGAAAAAGTGAAGCCCGGTACCAGTCTCAGTCTGGGCCCAAACAGTACCGGGCCCGGGTCGGGCCCACCCTCTATTTTTTTTTTTTGAAAAAGTAGCGGTTACGCCCGGATCGGGATCGGCCCTGGCTGGGCTGGTCCCAAAAAATCAAGCCCGAATCCCGACACGTTCTACCCCGGGTCCGGGTCCCGGGTCGGATCGCCCGGGCCCAGTCCATCCCCACTTGATTGTGCTACATTGATACATTCTTAGCTTTTAGAACTTCCGTGCATTACATATATACTGCAACCCCTAGCACATTAAACTAGCAGATATTACACCAATTACTGTGGTAGTGTTCTGAAGGCTTGTGCTCAGGTTGCCACACTGTCAATTCCCAACTTGGCCAAATTACACGAAACTGCAAACCTCTTTTGCAAACCCCACTCGTGAATTATTCGTGTCGTATACGACCCTGGTGTTCCTCTGCTGATAGTTTCCGATAATCCCAATATCGTCCTCATAAGTGAGGCTTGCCATAGCCAAACACACCTGAGAAGCGTCACTCTTAGCAAAGTAGAAAATCCCAGTGATGTCCACGCTGAGCTCAGCACCACCCTCAAACTGAAGTGTGACAGTTGGAATATTCACCTCCTCATAGGCTGAGAAATCAAAGCAGGTGTCTAGAATTGAGTAGCCTGTCACTATAGTGTATCCTGAGAACTGTTTCAAGAATTCAGCCTTGAAAGCTTTGTAGATAGACGGTGGAAGTCTGGTAATAACTGTCCCAGAATCGAGAATCATCATATGGCTTCTGTTCGAATCTTGAACCAAAACCCCACCTATACTTGTTCTTGTATGGTTGAGAATGTAGAAGCTATAAAGCTGTGGATTCTGAACCATTGCAGTGTAAGAGATGGGTGTAGAGTTCTTGAAAAGCAGCGAATCGCCTCCGAAAACCAAGGAGCCCTTGGAATTCTCAGAATCAGTTGAAGAAGGCAAGCAGTACGAGAAAACCCTCCCGAAAACATCAGATGTCTGAGAAATCAAAGACAGGTCACTCCTTCCTAGCCCCATTAGGCCTGAGGCTGAACCAAACAGACCTTTATTGTTCTTCCCACACCCAAATACAAATCCATCAATGGAAGTGCTTCCGAGAACTAAACGGTCCCTACCTAGCTCCCCATTAGTGTAGGACCCATCCCCATAGCTTACCGTGTAGTTGCACACACTCGAGCTCCCCCTACAAAGACCTGAATTCCCGGTTGAGAGATTATGACAGGCTGTGGCATTGCATGGAACGGAAAGATACGAAGGTGAGGATTCAGGGTTATAGAGAGGTTGTGGTTGGGTATAACATGAGGTGCACGGCTGGCATTGAACCCATGTCAGATCACTCCCGGTGTCTACAATGACTGTCATGTTCGTGGTGCCTATGGTTATGGTCACAATGTAGTTTAGAGTCTGTAGTTTGAGACCGGACGTGATTGGTTGGGTCTGGGTAAAAGATTGGGCTGAGTCTTCTGCGCTCTTGACCCACGATTGTATTGACCCGACCCGAATTTCATCATCTCTTATAAGTTGCTGCTGCCATTGATCCCAATTCTTTATCAATGATCCAGAAGACATGAAGAAGTGATCTGTATGCCTCATTTCCAGTACTATTGCGCCATTTTCTTTCCCTGTAGTCAAATCAGTAGAGTGAAACATAGCAAAATATAATGTATAGATAAAGCTTGTACAGTTGTACGTACTTTGAATGTACAAAAAAGATGACACCCCATCCCTGAGGCCTGAGGGCCCCCAACACCGACCGGGCGGCATGACGGGAGATGTAAATTGGACTATAATCACAATCTGACAGACAGAGAGTGGGGCTCCGTCCCCGGTACTTGCAGAGGCCCTATGCATTTTTAGCGTAGTAACCTCTCATCGCAGTTGCCGGGATTCGAACCCGGGACCTAACCCTTGTGGCACTCCCTCGCTGCCAGTTGAGGTACGCCTACCGGTGTACTTTGAATGTAGAGAAAAAGGTCAAATAAGGCCTTCTACTATTATGAAATAGTCACATAAGGTCATGTACTCAATAAAGTGTCCTAATGACCTATTTAACACCTCTTAATCCCGGTTTTAGCGTACTTGTGACCATCTTTTTAGAATATATATACGGCATATGTCGAATATTTAACTAAGATTGATTGAAATATAAGTCAAAAAATCGACATGTAAGCTAAAACCGGAATTAGGAGGTTGTAAATAGATCGTTAGGACTCATTTGATTGTTTTTTACAAGTAGAGGTACTTATATGACACTTTATTGAGTACATGTCCGTAGTAATAGTAGAAGGCCTTATTTGACCCTTTTCTCTTGAATGTACAAAATTTACTTCTGGTTTGCCTTAAAAGAGAACACTGGACACTTGGTAGCAGAACTAACAAGAAACAAATGACATAAATTCAATAAATAACAATATTAGTAACAATATGGTATGTTGTTATTATTATCATTATTACTAATATTATTTTTATTATTATTGTGATGAAGTTAAGGTCCACCAAGGTAAAGTTAAGTAGGTTGCAATTAAGATTAAGGCTCCGTTTGGCCGCAATAATTGGCTTATTTAGCTTAGAAGCGAAATAAGTAGCTTTTGACTTCCTTAGCTTCTTGAGCTAAAATAGATTTAATGATTATTAAATCATTAATAAGATTCAGCAAATATAGCCAATAACACTACTGATGGGAACCAAGATCTTTAATGATTATTAGGATAGTTTAGGATAGTTAAATGCTTAGACCAACATTATCGTTAATGGTTGATTTACACAATGCAAAGGTGATTATATTGGTTAGCTTAGGGAAAAACAGATCCAAAGAAAGGCAAATGCCCACCAGTGGAAAATGATAATACATATATCGTCTTTAATTAAAATAGAAAATTTATATTCCCAAAACTCACTTGATTTCTGGGCTGGAGACCTTGAAGGGTTAAGCTGGTTGTTGTACAGCTGCTTTCTCCATTGAAGCTTCTGCAATGACAAGACCTGTTTGTCCCCATAGCTGTTGTGAACAACAGCAGCAGCATCATAAGAAGTTGTGAGCACAAGCAGGAAGCAGAGAAGAACAAGCAATGAGGGCAGCATTGATGAAATAATCTGCAACACAATTTAGTTATTTGTACATATATAATGTAATACTCCGTATATGGAGAAGAAAGTATTAAGAGATGGAAGAAGCTAAGCAAAATTTGATGTGATATTATTAATTAAGAATGTGTTTGGGTGGATAGAATTGTGAAATGTTGTGAGAGATCGAAAACTAAAGCTAAGGGGTGGATGAATAATGGAACAAAAGGCCGAGGGGCTGCCTGCTCAAGGCTAGGGGCGGACCCCACTGTTGCATGAGAAATTATTGGGATTTCACGTGCATATATACATTGCATTTGTATTTTTATGTATCTTTTCTCTATATATATGGCGATGGATTTGATGCTTCTTCTGCTGGCTGCAGTTTCAACTTTTAATTTATTATTACTCCGTACCTTTTTATTTAAATTTCACCTTACAACTTATTTTTCTATGGACAATAGGAGTATATAATTTGGCATCTCCCAAAACTCGTTGTTCCTTCTTTTTTATCAACCTCGGAAAATAACTTCATACTATCGTATAAATTGTATAATTATACAAATAGAAAATGTTCAGAATATGAGTTAAATATGTCTGAGTAAAATTAAAAAATAAGACAAGTATGATTTATTCTCCAAATGTGTTTTGAAAATAAAAACATAATGACACCAACTATTTGAGTATATAAAAAAAGATATGAAGTTGTTCCTTACTAGAAATTCATTTGTTTAATAAATCCAAAGCTCATATGATCATATCTAATTATTTTGAATTGTGTCACTTATTTATCTTTTGACATAGATTTTTGGATGAGTCAAATGAATGGCCTGCCAGTGGAAAAGTTATTGTGTGTCACTTTTAATGTACATTCAAATAGTTGTCAATATTTAAAATTGTTTTCAAATTGTATCAATATTGGTTGATGGATGATATTTAGTATTCTTAGAAATTGATTTCCGTTTTTATTATACCTCAACCATGATTTCATAACATTGCATAAAAAGTTTTGTTATATCACTATTACTCCCTCCGTCCCTGAATTATCTTCAAACTTTCCTTTTTCGTCCGTCCCAAAATTATCCCCTCTTTCTCTTTTTGGCAAAGAATTTGTGGTTCACAATCATTCTTACACATTCTTACACATTTCTCTCTCCTCTGCACAACTCTCCACCACACAAATCCCACTATCTTAATTTGTGTGAAATGTCAAAGGAGGAGATAATATAGGGACGGAGAGAGTAATATATTTATTTTGGAAAGTATTTGATTATTTGTTACATTTTCATTTTTGGTAAGATTTATCTACTCCATCTTCTATATTCTACTTTTCATCTTGTTTTGGATAAAGTGTAAATATATATATCCAAGAAAGTTTATGTACATCATATGGACAAAATGAGCAAAACTATAGGCAATCCAAAGTAAGGATGCCCTATCCAACCTACGTGATAACTAACCATAGTAGCTAGCTATCCACCCCAAAAAATCAGCCATCTAGCTGTGACAAAAAGTGGGTGAAAACAGTCCACAATGTTTCAAAAGTTTATCATATGAACCGGATATAGAGAATATAAAACTTTATACACCATAAACTTGATTTGTGACAACACTTCTTCAATCGTAACTTTTGCTCCATCAAACCGAATAGAGTTTCTTGTTCTCCAAATCCAATACGGAGTATATAGTATAGCAAAAAGATATCCTTATAGCCTTGGCCTTGATGTGTGCTCCATGGTGCTCCTTTTTTTTTATCCATTTGACATTTTGACCGAGCTCCTCAAAGTAGCCATGCTCCTTGTAATTCCTAGCCATTGCTTGACTTTCCCCCAGATTTGACCTGTAAAACAACATTCAAAGAATAGGTGTGGAACCGTTTCCGGGCCACCCTTACACATTGGGCATATATTTTCTAAGTTAAGGAAAGCTAGATTATCATAAGTGGCCAATATATTTCTAAAAGCAAGCCATGCCACAAAAGAGAACTTGGATGGTATATATGACTTCCAAATGAAAGCCATCCACGCCCGAGGGGTGGCTTTTAGCCTTAGCAAGTTAAATCATACACCTTGGAAGATGAAAGTTTACCATTATGGGTGCACTTTCTAAGGTATTGCAAGGCCTCCTCTAAAGAGGGGATTTTGAAACAACTTGGTCTCAGATCAAGATAGTTCTTTTTATAAGTTGAGAGTCCCTCGTGTGTGGATCAAAGGTCCACACATCTCTCCCATGGAGATAGACTCCATGAACCCATCTAACCCACAAGCTATCTTGTTTTTAATTGTAAAGTGCTTCAACGGTTATCGTCTACTTTTATCCTTTTCTACAGTATTCATTATTTTTTTTTTATCTCACTCCCGCCATTTCAACTTAACATTAACTTTCCTTTTGTCTTCTCACACAAATTAAAGCATTAAAAATTGAGCGGTTAAGAGTTGTGCAAAAGAGAGAAAGTTAATATGATGACACTTTTTGCCATAAAAGTAAGTGAATTTTATTTTGGGTTGATTTGAAAAGAAAAGTATGAAATTACTTTTGGAACGAAGGGAACATAGAGCTTATTCTGTAGCACTGAAAGTGGTTGAATCCACTGATATTGATGAAATTCTGGTTGAAATGACTGAATTTACTAAATTACGGGAAACCATATTTTAAAAATATTTCATTAAAAAAATAAAGAAAAAATTATATGAAAAAGAATAAGTAAAATGGCTCTTTAAAATAGTTTCAGTCAATTCAATTAGAAATTTAAGCTTAACTTCACTTAGTTTGATTATTACGTACTCCAGCACGAAAAATCGAAAGTGACGTGTTTGTTAAAAAAAATGACGGATAGGATTAACAACTTGAATGGTTTCATTCGCTTTATATCGGTTTCGATCCGTTTTAATTAGAACATCATGGTCGATTTTTGCCCGTTGGTTTCGGTTCAGTCAACTTGTTCAGTTTCGGTTTCGTTCAATCGCTTTTGGTCGGTTAGATTTCAATCGGTTTGTCGATCCATTTCAAATGAGTTTTCAACCTGACCTTGCGAAACAAAAATGAGAATAAGAGGAAGATGGTAGTGACGAGAAGAAAAATAGACCTTCGTCGTCCGTGCTTTGAACAAGAAAGCGAAGAAAATGAAAAGAGAAAAAGATACTACCATGAAAAAGAACTTTCCACGCAGGCTGCCACGCAAGTAATTGGGAAACCGGCCATTAACCTGCTAAACGGCTCAATTGAGCGTTTTGTAGGAGTACGAGGATTCAATTGAGTTTTTTTTTAAAGTACGAGGATTTAATTGATTTTTCCGGTATAGTATGAGAGCTTATTTGACGGTTTTTCAAATATTTTTGGTGCAAATCCTACGGTACCCTTGAGGTACAATACCACGTCGAGACCAATAAAAATAATATAATTAAACAATTGAAATATAAATAAATGATAAAATAGTATAATCACTTACACTTTTTGATGGGGTGACCCTATAAATCTAGAATGCACCAAATAATAAATTGATACTACATCCCTCTCAATTTGATGATCATGTTTCTTACAAACCACTTTTAATATCTTACTTTATATATCAGAACTTTTATTAAAATTTATTTTACTTTTACGACTTTGTAAAACTTTTAATACAGTTCCTGAATATGTAAACTTTATTTACTAAAAACAATTTGAGTGTGAATAGGGAACCATTTGCTTTATCGTCGGTCAAACCTCGTAAACCACAACCAGACCGTCAAATTGGAACGGAGGGAGTATGTAAATTGTAAATAGTTAAAACCGCCATCTACCGTTACTTTATACAAGAAAAGTAACTTCAACCTCATTTATTTTGGTTATTACAAAAATTAACACACAGAATCAAGAATTACGAACACGTTTGATAAAAAAAGTTGACTCATAAGACTGATAAGCTAAAAATATGGATTACTAAATGGACATTAGTAGTTAGTATTTACAAATTAATATTTCGCGTCACGATGGTACATATTATGTACCTTGCTAATTAAATTGGATAATTTTGTACAACTATACAATTTTGTCCCAAATGAGGGTTGAATATATTGAACTATGAAATATTTTCTATGAATATACACAATATTTGTTACTTTGATATTAAAATGAAGATGAAATAATGTGATACTTAACCAATAAACCACTAATGGTATTGTAGAGAGAAGAGAGAGCTAAGAGTTAGAGTGAGAGAAATATATGATACAGAGTATTAATGATTTCAGAATCATTTACATCTGCCCCAAGGAGGGGTATTTTAATATACAGAGTAATAAATGTTAGGTGCATTAAATGCACACACACATGTAAGCTAATCTACTATGCGGCAGAGAGCGACGTGCGGACGAGGTGTGTAGGGCGATGTGTCGTAGGACGCGGTGTTTGTCGACCTCGTCCTCATTGTCACCTTGCCTTGAAAGAGATTTTATATGAGTTGTAGACCTCATGTTGGACGAGGTGTCACTGATCGAGGGGACTCTTAGTCTCCTACGAACAGTGCATTCACCCAATATGTTTTGCATGGTGGTCTTGTTTGATCTTGGTCACTTCATCCATGTAGGCCCTCATCTCACTGAGGGCCCCTGCTGAGGTGTGTAGTTTGGATGGTTTTGGGCCGCTTTGTGTATCCCAATATATGTCGACCGCGGGCGAGCCCATACTCTATCATGATGTTTAGTTTTTGTAGTTTATCATTGCTTCATAAGATTTATTATTAGCATTTTTAGGGTTTATCAAGCTTTCTTAAAGTTTAGTGGCGACTACCCGTTGAAGGCTGGGGATCGAAGGTGCAGCGAGTGCAGTGAATCCAAACAGTTCAATTTATTTACAAAAACACCTCCGCATCTCTACAATCTAATAAGGCTGCATGAAGGTTAGACTACTTTGGGTATAAATATTTTGTTGGTGGTACTGTGAGTTTGTTGACATGTACCTTATGCTTAAATGTTTGTAAAATTTAGAAGTTGTGTGCCTTATATCTCCCTACAGTGTGCCGCACCTATCTTCTCCGTTATTACCCCCAAACCGTTTCCATTTTGTAATTCTCGCAGGGCCCCACACCCGTTCACCCACAAGCCCATATTCACCCACAAGCCACTTCTCTCTCGCTCCATCTTTAGTAGAAGAGACGCTAATCGGTCGCACAGGCTAGCCGAGGCTCGCACATCCCTTCGTCTTCCTCAAAGGTGGGTGTTCATTAATCTCACATTTATGGAGCTAATTTAATTTGACTTCTGCCTGCAAATC